CTTCACACGATGGCTAAAAGTAGTACATATCAAATGCATTACTGCTGAAGCAATGGAACCCGACTTCGTCGAACGATGTATGGCAAAATTCGTCTGTCTTTGAACTATTTTCGTGCCTTAAGGTAACCCTCGTGCTATTGATAGAAGAAACCATAGAAGAAACTATCACTACAGACCGTGGACAGCAGTTTGAATCTGAGCTTTTCCGTTGCATGTCTACACTCTTAAGAATAACGCGATTCCAAACGACTACCTACAACATACAAACAAACAGGATAGTGAAACAGCCTCATCGACAGATGGAAGCTTAACTTACACGTGTAAACGTTTCACAGTAGATCGAATAAAAGCAACTAGTAACCGCTCAAGAACAGGCAAAGTCACTTGGTAAGGGTCGTTGGTCTCCCAACCTCCCTGTTACAAGAGAAATCCTTTGGTCAGTCGAGAATACTCGCAGCTTCTTTGAGAGCTACAAAAACCGACCACTTAAAGCTGTCGTCGAAAACGTTCGAGATGGTTGTTCTGTACAAGTCTTCATTCTACCTGAATCCCTTAATGAAAAGCCAAATACATTTGTATACGTTACTGTCACAATGTCAGGGATTAAATCTCCATCGATACGTTATGAGGATGGAAAAATTGTGAGTTAGCATATCGTTGTTTCATGGTTTATAGGTTCCCGACGCGTGGGGTCTCGATGCGTTATTCTTTACCGAATCCAGACTGCTACAGAGAGACGTTACTATACTGTTGGAATCCGTATTTAATCAAACTTTCGTCGGAAGCATCCTCCACCCAAATGGAAATATAGCTGAGTTGTTGCTGCGTCATGGTCTTGCTCACTGTATTGATTGGAATCTAAACTTAGTAAGCGTCCCAGGTGCTGCTGAAGCCTATAAAATAGCTGAAAGACTTGCGAAAGAAAAGCGACTACGCGTGTTTGAAAACTACCAGCCCACACAAACAACGGAAGTACATGCAGACAGTTTTCAAACAGTTGTTCCAGGGAAAATATTCAGTGGAATTGTGAGTGCTTGTCCAACTTTATTTGTTATTTTATTTATTTGGACACATATTGGTGAAAGTGGGCACCAAATATATATGCGCCACACAGATAATTTGATTTGTGTGTATCTACTGAAAGTAATCTGAAGCTAAATGGACCTTGGCTATAAGGATAACGTTATTTCGGTTCCCTCTTGGCACCTCAGCCATCTTCGTGCGATGTCATATTCTCCCCTTCGTTTTAGGATATTTTTGCACATGGCGATGTAGATTACGAGTTTAAGTAAATAACGACTTAGGCTGTCAATCGTTTTTTTAACCATGAAAATTGTGCTGATCTTAACTATCTGTGTATTCTGGTGAAAAAATTACTGCACCAGTGTCAGTTCTATCATGTCATTTCAAACTATGGTATTGTGAACATGTTATTTCGGAGCCTCTTTCAGGTTGGACTTAATTTTAGTACTTAGGACTCACTGTTTCTAGCTAAAAAGACTTGGATCTATGTGTATTGTTTTTTTCAGATATGTGAAGTCGGAAACGGTGATAACGTCTCTATCAAATGTTCAGATGGTGTCCATAAATTCTTTCTATCCAGCATAAGAGCTCCACGACCACAGACCAGCAGCAAGGAAGACGATTCTTCTGTCCAACGTGGTCGTATTCGTCCGCTTTACGACATACCTTATGTGTTTGAAGCTAGAGAGGTACTTCGCCAGTTCGTCGGAAAACAAGTAAGTCAAGTTTCAATGAATCAAATGATTACCCGTACCTTACAAAATATTCCATAAAACAGTAGTTCATTAGGGTTACAGAAAACATACTTTATTAGTACGTAACTGTTGTATCATTGATATACAGGTAACTGTTCAAGTTGATTACATTCAACCGAAGACACTGAGCTCATATATGTTTCATTTCTTTGTCTACACGGACCAACATAGATGAGATGAACAGTGGATAACTGGACAGATTAGTTAAACGGCCCTTAGCTTCCTTCTGAATTACTGCTATTCCACCCAACGTTGCACGTCGAGGTAAGTGGTTGTTGAATATAACTAATACAGGTCCCAGCCACCTCAGGTGACGAGAATTCACAGTCTCGTTAGCCGATTTCACCATCTTTGTCTAGTACCCTATTCGCAACCTAAATACTGCTTACACTGTGATCTCAACACTTGTGATCGCAGTCTGCGGTTTGCACATGTCTTCTACTTTCATGGACCATGTTCCTCACATGTGGATTCCTGCTCGACAGACTCGTCCGTTCGTTTGTAGCCGGGTATTTTGCTTACGCCACAAGTGACGCGATTCCTCAAAGCCAAGTGGGATTTCTAGATCCACTTGTAGAATTAGTCAGACGCCAACCAACATGGGTTGATAAAACGTCCTACTGAAGTGATCGACGCAACTACTGTAGTGCCACATCTTCAGTCTAGGCAATAACACAGGCCAATCGTGAAGCAACATCCTGTTGTTAGAAAGAAAAACTCATCCGAAAAATGCCTACGGTATTGCTCATGGTCTTCAAACAGCTAAGAATTGCGTCAGTGTCTTCAATCCATTGTGTTGTTCCATCTGTGCCATTCATGTTGGTTGTTTCATTTTCCGAAACGAGGTCAATCATTCAAAAGTTTCATGAAGAAATTGAGACTTGTAAGCAGTCATCTCTTACGAAATGGGTTTTTGAAAAATGGGATAAGCTGTGATCCGACCAGTTGTCTGTGGATAAAACGACTTCGGGATTTCTATATACTTCTTCAGTGCGCTTTTCTAATCACAAACAGTGAATGCTTGTACAGATCAGTTAGACTGTTCTTAGCTTCCTTATGATGTACTCCTACTCCAATGTCTTCTCGATCAACATAGTTGATTGGTTCTTGCAATTCGCAAGTAATAAAGGTTAAGGATAATTTTGTGTTCTTACTCCTCAACAGAATATTTTTTAGTGTTAATTCTTCACGTCTTCTGACAATTACACCTGTTCTTCATATCACCTCTTCATTGTGTCATTTTGTCGTTATTAATCTCCTCTCTGTCTGTGGTTCCGAAGCCAGCTAGTTAAGTCGATGGGTTCACGCAACAGGTTCTGCTATGTTTCAGCCAACAGTGTTGCCAATATTTTTCTTAGTGTGATGTTACTGCATTGAAATGTTGACATTCAGTCTATTCATATGAGTTTGTTGCCAAATGTTGTTTTAGGATTATGGACCAAAAGTGAATTTCAAACGACAGAAGGTGCAGATCGGAGGATTTGATGGTCTGCCAGCATATCCTAGGTTCCTCATAACACGTTACAATGATTTGATTAAAGAAAGCAAATCTCTTCGCCCTGAATTTCTCCCAGTTGAGTTATGCAACCTGGAGTACAAATCAGATCGTGGAGCTTGTATTGTACCGCACTATGATGATTCATGGTTGTGGGGTGATCGATTAGTGACTGTCAATTTGAGTGGTGCCACTTATTTAGCTTTCACATTACCGACAGCTGACGTGGTGGATGGCATAAACCACGAATTTCAACGTGTTCAATCGTGTGTGCCGAATGTTTCTCGGGGCTCAGTAAGTCTACTGTGTTTTCAATAGTACCTCCAAACTGGATTATTTGTGGTCTCCTTAATTGGTACTCTGTGATGTTATTATTTTAATGTAAAGATGTACTGATAGAGATTCATCTGTGCCTGAGTCTTGTGTTCAGACGTGTACTAAAGAAGATGAAATTCATGTTTTGCTGTTCTGTGTGTTTGTCTACGAAGATTCGTAACTCAGATATCACACCAGCAGTGGTTTCAACTTCCAAACAACGCACAGAAATCTATCTAACATAGCTATAATTATTGGTTTTGGAAATACGATGTGACCTGTTGTTTGAACGGTTATCGTGATGTCTTTGTTTTACGTACGTTTAACGCTTATTATTTTGAATAATAAGTTGACCGTAGTAAATTGAATATTCCACTTATGGGAGATTTATATTACAAGGCTTTGATCTGCATACATATTTAGAGTATTTAAACGTTGGAATTCCAGATCTATTTAAGATCAAGATTTTCGACAATTTATCCTGATATTGGATGTCTTGTAATGCAGTTCTTATAGTTTTATCCTTCATAATAATTTTCCGATAAATTGAAGAGCTGATTAGTAAATTCCAAAATCTCATTGCTTGTTTTATGATTGAAATATCACAAAGAAAACTGCTTAACAAAGCTATATCAAGTGCCTTCACTTGGTGTTGGTTATTTGTGTATTCCCTGTTTTGCTTAGGACTGCAATTGGTCAGTCACCTATCGGCAATTGTGAATCCTGTGCGGATCACATCGATGTCATGAGTCACAAGCTTTACTGCCAAAGATTGGTGGTGGCTAGCAGTGGAATTCAGGAGTCCCGTTTCGCCCTATTTGAGACTCTTCAGCTGAATGTAAATGCATCTTAGAGCTGACGTTCACTCTGAGAATCGGACCCCGCACCGTTCGCTTCAAACGCCATCGCCTTATCTACTTAGTCCTTGAGATAATATCGAGGCAATCCACACAGGGTGCACAAATGCCAACAAGAGACTGATCAATTGCAGTCTTAAACAACGATTGGAAGATGAAAACAAACAACACCACGTGAATTTAAACCTCACCCCATTACACAAGCAGGTGGATATCAGGACTCAGTAGCTAAGTGAATTAAGCGGACGGTAATGGATTCGAGTCCCAGAATTAGGATTATCTCTGAGACGCAGATACATTCATCTGGTAGATCTTAAATAAGAAGAAACGCGAATCTTGGATTCTACTGATAGACACCATCCATCCTTTTTTATAAAGTCATACTCATTAGTTGAAAAAATACGAGTTGACCTGTTGTTTGAACGGTCATAATGACGTATATCTTTTATTTGTCTACTTCTTTTCAGAAAGCCGTCTTTTGTCAAGCTTCATTAAGTAAATTATCCGAACAGAGCTAACTTGTCCACAAGGAATAAACGTTTTGTTTTGCAGGACACATTATATGTTTTCAAGGTTGAGTTGATAGGAGCGGCCTCTTAGAGGCTATATCCACGTTCAGTTGCGTAAACGGACTGAGCATTTCTTTGGTTCGTTTAGAATGCTGGGTTATAATAACTCTTCAGATTTTCAGAGTAGTTTTATCATCATTTTTATTTCTTCTTAGAGATCGGCCTAGGTTTGCTTGCTTTTGGAGTGGGTTTTCTTTGTCTTGGTGTTCTATTTTTCTTCGACGGTGCTCTATTGGCTCTAGGTAATGTAAGTGTTCAATAAAATTCTAGACTGCTCCTTCAAGGTTCTTTTCTTAGGCGGAATAGGATGTCTTATTGGATTGCAGAAGGCTTGCACATTCTTTTTTCGCCGTACGAGTTTGAAAGGAGCAGTTTTCTTCTTCGGGGGCATATCCGTTGTCCTCTTTGGCTTCCCTTTCATAGGAATGCTGTTGGAAATTTATGGAATGATAAATTTATTCAGGTAATAGTGCGGGAAATAATCTCCAAGTTGTGAGTTTTGCGCGTTTTTTCTTATTACGATCGACAACTAGATTTTGGAATGAACAAATTTTTGATCAAAAACTTATTTTATAGCTGGTGGTGCTTGTTAGCTTTATATTTAAGCTTAGACACGTATAAAGATTCAATCTAATATAGCCATCTAAACCTTCGATTCCTTAAATTATTTAGTCATTTGTTTGGTTGCAAGATTTAGGGAAATCAAACACCTAACGTTACTCCTAATCTGTCTGAAATAATAGAGAGTGTCTAAGTGGCGTTAGTTGGCAAAGGCCATAGGCGTATTATTATTTTCAACTTTCTACTATTCATTCATTTTGTTACTTTCTATTGTCATTGACTGAACCTCGCATTCAGGTCGCTTAGTATGTTTATGTGCTTTGAAAAATTGCTTTCGAGTTTCGGGCTGTTTAGGTGGAGACAAGTCATGGGACTATGATGAACTCTTGCTATTATGTAACTAATCCTGTACACCTAATTCAGACTACAAAACGGGGTCAAATATATATAAGCATTATTAGTCGTTGAGCAGTGGCAGTTAAAGCTGAAGCATTTGTGCAAAGCTCTACTTTTGTTAGAGAGGTTAAATCAATGTCATGTCAGTAGATTAATTCGTTTTCTATTCAATATTAGAATTCACGAAAGCCACTTCAAATTAGATATTGAGGTTAACATGACTAAGCTGTTAATCTGCTGATAGACGGACATTGCTAAGTTACCCCATAGAAGTCTATACAAACACAGTAAGTTTCCATCGGTAAAACTGTTAGAATCATTTGTTCAGAGTGAAATCTTCGGTCTCACAGATTACAAGCTGCACTCAATATCCTTATCACCCCTACCAATAGTATCAAAATCCTCTGGAGCCAATTCATTATACCCTGCTTATTCTTCTTGCCTAAGATTAGGTAATGGCTTTTTCCCTTCGTTAAGTGTTAAACCCTTTATGTGGATCTCACGTATAGACTGTTAATGACTGATGGTCAAATGATAGTTAGTCAAACTTTCCTCCTACTTATTTTGGCCCTCATCCTAGTCATATGGTCTGAATAAATCACGGTTTCATCTCATTTCATGATACTTAAACTTTTCGTCAACCTTCTGATCTTTGTCTCTGAGGTGTCGCGTCAACTGTCTAGTTTCGTTTTTCGCTGCTCTTTTCTATTTGGTTATATTCCCTACCGCTTCTCACGTTCACTGACCTGGCGTTTTGTTAATTTTTGTCAATTGTTTAGATGGGTTTCCAAACATATTTACTAGAGACCACTGGACTTTATCTTTCCCCAACCTTTTGATTTAGATCGCTAGCAAATCTTAATGCTGTTCATACAACTGTTTTGAGATCATGTCGGGTTTCTTAAGGATAACCATCCTTTTCATGCTACTTTAAGTGTTTAGTTAGCTTTCTCAAGCATGTCCTTGAAATTCCTACCTTCAAGCTGAGTTTGCTGGGGTTCTCCTTATGCAATATTTCTGCGTTCATTAAAGCATAAATTTGTCCACAATAGACGATGAGCGAGGTCCAGACACGCGTTTTAAGACAAAAAGTCTTCTATCAAAACTCCATCACTAGTTGATCGTAGTGATTATTCTGTCTACCATTGCATTGATGACAGGAGTCGCCAGCCTTTTAGCTTGACTTAACATTCTTACTTAGGCTCTGAAACTACTCCTTACAATTGCTACGTCTAGACATCTGGCTTTTATAAGTTTGAAGAGATTTTAATAGCACTCACCTCTTATTTTATCGGAGATACTTTCAGTGAGAGGCCAAGCAATCACTACAAAGAGGTAACTGCATATATCCTTACGTCCTGAGTTCTTACTATCGACGAATCCAGTCGAAAAGTGTCTATTCTACTTTCTAATATGTCGCTACATCTGTACCCATTAGAATATGAGGTAATGTCGAATATTCAAGTACACAGAGTGAGTCTCACTGGTTCTCCATGTTAGCTAGGTTCCTGTATGATTAATGAAACCTGTTATCCAATATGAGACACTCTGACCGTTGGAAGCCCTAATATTTAGTTTAGGGCCTTTTCTTAGGAGACCAAGGATAACATTTTATATATTCGACTAATTGACTTTGATCGTATTCGCGTAAGCAAATTAAACTGAAGGAAAAAGGGGGTTGAGAATGATTTTACGGTGAGCAGTAAAGACTTTTGCTTTCAAGTACTTTTCACATCCTAGTAACCGTGATTAACAAAGGATATCGTATTTGTAATACTGAGAAAGAATCGAATTGATATTGCGTGTAATGTCTTCCTAAGAGCGTGACCACACAGTCCGAGGAGTAACTGTTGGAGGTTCATACAGTGTTTTTGTGAGTAATTTTCGTTGTGCTCTCCGGGATTTTCTCAAGCCTTATAGTCACCAAAAGATATTGTGCTATCTTATTACTTTTCTTTCCTGCTTACCTGTTATCTGTCAACTTCTTTGTACCAAGTGTTAATATAATACTAACCGTAACATACTAAGTTGTTTATGTCAAATGATGATCATATACACTTTAATTTTATAGTAAATTTATCCCAGTGGCAATCAAATTTTTGTATGGTGTTCCTGTAATCGGTTGGATCTTATGGCTTCCCGGGATTAACGGAGTAAGTCTACGTTTTGAAGTAGCATAATATTTTCCATTTTCAGCTGACTAGTTGAAGTTCGACTAAAAATCGAAAACTACTAGATAGGCTCTTTGTCCAAACTTAATATTTTTTTCCTAATAGATTGCTAAACCTAGCAGCTTCGGAATATGATGTGTACTTAACTATTTAGTCATTAACCTGGGCTTCTCTAACGAGCAGTTCAAAATCATGTCACACTGAAATTATCCATTTTGTCTCATCATTGTCAGTTGACAACTATTATTATTCTATACTTCATCTACATCTATTAATATGGCTGTTATCGACAATTAGATTCAGACATCTTAACAGTGGAGACTATCTAGTCGGGGTCCACATGATTATCGTAATCGATTGTAAGAGACTAGGTGACATCGCTCAGAACTGTTTGCAAAGACGAAAGTGCACTCACTCCTTGTCTTTCTGTAAAATCTGAGTCCTAAAATCTCCTCGTACATATTCTTTCCTTTTTGTATATCCAATCCTTTTTACCAGTCCCAGGTTCGAGAAATAATCCAAAATGTGAATGTTGCTGTAATGAAATTCTGAACATATGTCCAAGCCACCGAAGCAGGTGCTTCAAAATAGTAACACCAATTGAGTTATCGTCACGGTGCGCGACACACATCACTGAACCTCAGCATTACTGACATGGGGTTGGCGTCTGGTATGAATAATTTTTCGGATGTAATGTTGATCAGAAGTAGGGAGACAATGAACATTCTCAACTCAAAAAAGTCACGTTTCACTGACGCGTTGCCAACCTGACCTTTTACAGCCAGACTAACATCAAGATGACACTATTCTATCTAGGTCGATCTCATCTGTCATATCACCCCCACAACAACCCAGATACACATATATTTGATTACTTCTAATGGGTCATCACGAAGAATGAGTTTAGAAACAGGGTCCTGACAGTCTTACGAAAGTAATTTTCAGTTAGAAGATGCAAAATACCTGTGTAAAACACGTTAATAGGCAGGAAGAATGTATTTTTAATGTGAGAAGTTACAAAGCATTTACATAATATATATACCTAGCCTTTAATCGTCCATTTACATCTTTCGGTGTGTTCTGCCTAGGCTGTGCTTTCAATGCACTGAAACTCTTCACATCGTTGAAATCGCGATCTAATAAATCTAAATATTGATAAAATAGTTTGAACATACATACCTTCCAGTGACTTCTATGCGGAGCGTTATTTGTTGGATCTCGTATTTAGTGAGGAACAAACAATCATTCCGTGATGTATTTCTGCTGACCCACGGATATCTCTGTTGGGTAAAGATCCATTAGCATACTAAGATTCGTTTAATTAGCTTCTGACATTACTAAATATGTCTCAAAATGGGAACTGTTCAATAGTTCACTGTTGTTTAGCAATGTATCTCTTCAATCATCTGAAAATTGTCATTTCTTTTTGCATGAGACACGTGTCGTACTAACTATTTTTGTTTTAAATAAGTGAGTGCTTTGCTTCGGTCCGTGCGTACTATTTCTAATCTATTTTATCACCCTTGATTTACTCCCATATACTTTGTATTTCCACAAAATATTAATACTTTGTAGTTTGTACGCAGACTCAGTCAATCGAATTCAATGGTATGATTCATGCAAGATGGAACTTCATGTAGATTATGTTTACCTTATTGATGGAACAATATAATAATGTCGTGAAGACAGGTTTAACTCTCTTTGTACATGTTTTAACTTAACGTTGAAAATATGTAAACAATTTCCACGCTTTCTATACTGTATATGTCTTTAAGTCGTGTTTTTTTTTCGAAGGAAAAGCTGTTATACGTACAACCATTTAAAAGTGATCCTATTTATCCTTTCAGATGTTTATCTCCATACTTTTAATATTGTGTACTATGTGATTGAAATTTTGTCCTACATCAATCCGTTTCGTTTTCACTATTTAAATTAGTATTTGAAGTAATAAGTTTTAAGTTAATGTTGATTAATAAACTAACATTTTCTCTAATGATTTATGACACTTGTAATTAAGTATCGTTGTTAACTAGTTAATAATAGAGGTATTAGTGGTTGTGCCCACGACGCGCAATACTGACTGGTGTTGAGTATGGTTGGGAGAAAGTTAAGGGCGGCCAAACCAAAACGTGGCACCAGTCCTCGAAGTCACTGACTTCTACTCTTAGCCATGTTGGTAGGTGCAGACTACTTGGTTGGGGTCTACTTGACTATTGTAACCAATGATTGGAGACTGTGTGACATGGCTCAGAATCGATCACAATGACGTAGGTGTATATACTCTTTGTCTTCCTTTAAACCATGAGATTAAAATCGCTTTATACCTTTCTTTGTACGAACTAATTCTTTCTTTCTATACCATATCCTTAAATGCAATCTTTCTTTTATGTATTACCACCATTGAAGTGACTACTTGTATGAATTTGATGTTCATCTTGTTGTGCTAATGATGTATGGCGACTTTGAACGATGCATATTTGTACCTAGTCCTACGCTATAGCTGACTGACTGGTTGTGCCCTCACTTTTCTGATTTTAATAAACTGTTGCAACATTGTAATGAGTATAAATCCACGCAAATTAATAAATTACTTAAACAACTACTGTCTGTCTATAAGATTTTATTGAAGTTCTTATTTAATGGACACACACTTACTGTTAAGAAAAACAACTTTTCTTACAATTAACAGAAGTAAAACACGTTTAACTAAATTGTCTACTATTTCAGTTGATAATTATTTCTTTGAACACATAAATATTGGTACAACAGGGGCACCAGATATATCTGCACCACACAATAAAAATGAGAACGGGAAGAGAAAAAGAATGTAAGGTGCGCATAAGAAAAAAAGAACAATAACGACCACAAATTAGTGTATGGTAGTGTAAAATTAATAATAATAGTAGTGGGGGAGATGGAAAGGTACAACCAGAAGAAGTCTTTCTGTTAAGGAAGTTACAACCATTTTTATGGAGAAGGTAAAAGGTTACAGCAGGATCGCCACTGGCTTCTATTCTGAGCCATATCTGGTAATGTTTCTAGCCACTGTATAGCACCACCTCTCGGACCCCAGCCAGGGAGCCGTGAAGGACCAACAGAAGCCAGCCCTTTGCAGCTTTCCTTCATACCACGACACCATGTCATGCACTGACCACCTCTCCGCTTCTTCCAACCAGTCCCAGAGTCGGCAAATAATGCACGACGTGGAATTCTTTGGGACGACATTCTTAGAACATGTTCAAGCCACCGAAGTCGGTGTTTCAAGGTGGTGACATCGACTGCATTATCGTCTCTGTACCCGAACACACGATGCCGAACCTCTGCATTACTGACATGGTGTTGCCACTGGATGTCAGCAATCCTTCGGAGACAGCGATGATCGAACACAGAGAGTCGTCTAACATCCTCAACTAGGAGAGGCCAGGTTTCACAAGTGTAGAGCAAAACTGCTCTCACGGACGCGTTGTAGATCCGACCTTTTACAGCCAGACTAACATCACGAAGGCGCCAAAGGTGGCCCAGATTGGCATAAGCCTCTCTGGCTTTAATTATACGTGAATTGATTTCGTCATTCACGCCACCATCAGCTACCTAGATACACGACATTCTCGACTACTTCTCTTTGCTCACCATCTAGGGTGAGTACAGGATTACAATCTTGCCAGACATGTAGAAATACTTAGCACTTCGAAGATGCAAAGCACATACCATACCTACGGACACTGATTGCCAACTGAATAAAAGTGAAAATGATTGTACTCTGATGTATTATTCACTTGTCTTAATGATTAAAAAATAATTAGACTTTTCTGTAGGCTGCTGTAAAATAGGCATTTGTGAATTATTAGGTGTGTACGCATAAAACTATATCAGGAATTCATATAAAAATGATGATATTCATGCCGTTCACCGGTTAATATAATGCTAAAATCATGCATGTATATAGAAATAACTAACCGTCATTAATTTAGAAATAAATAAATAAAAAAACCTTTTCATAAACGCTTTATACAACCACTAGCGCATCACCTTAACGTATAAGGACTGATTCACTATCTTTGGTTTGATAAAACACTATAACTTTTTTTGAAGAGACAGTAGTGAGACCTTGATGTTCAGATGGAACATTAATAGTACTAAGAATGAATATGAAAGACAAATATTTTACATTTTATGGTTAGTTCATAACTGTCCGTAATATATAAATCTTAATTTACTGTAAAGTGACAATTAACCAATCTTTTATTAATGTAGATATTTGATAATCTTTCAAATTATTTACCTTTGAAGTAGTTTAAGGATTAATTTACAGTTTCTAGATTCTTCACATATGAATAGAGATGTGGTTCATTTGAGTGTTGAGGGAGGTATGGTTAATTGTCTCAGAAATTCTAATCGTGGTTCAACAGACTAATATCCAATCACCATTACTACTTTAAATATCCACTAAAAGTGTTTGGTAGATCATATTTTACGTTACTTCATCATCATCATCATCAAATTTCTCTACTTTTCCTAATTAAGCTGAAGGATTACATAGATAAAGTTATTAGGAAACCTCAAATTGTAAAGACAACTACTGAGCATCTAATTTATATGTACAAGTTCCTATATTATTAAACGACCAAAATTATAGTTGCTGGGGGGGGGATATGGCTTAATTACAGTGTTAAGAATACAATATCAAGATAATATTATTTATTTTATTTACTGTACCTCATAGATAGTATACTATTTGAATAAAAGTCAAACACAACAATTGAGGCCGAATAAAGAATTCATTTTATTTTGTGGTTTAACCTTCAACTGCTCATAACTGTATTCGTATTAAAGTATAACATTAAGATACAATAATAATATAAAGTTACAAACGGAAAGAATTGGAGTAGCAATGGTTTTAAATATATATAGGCATGTGTGAGGTCATCCGAAGGTGGGATTCAGAAACATAGAGTGAGGCAGTAACTAAATGAAGTACAGAAACCGTTGGTGGAGTTTTATTCTGTGAGCTGGATAGTTTGGTCGTGCAGCTCCATCAAAATCATCCACTTGAGCTATAAATCTTCTCCATCATTTCAAAATCATATGAGTGTATATAAGTATGAAGAAGTAGGCGAATGAAAATATAATTTTAACGTAGATGAAATAACAATTAGTTTAGTGAAGACTGAATGACAAAATAAATACAGTAATTGTAGATGATCTTGACAAAGATGTATTTACTAAGGCAGTATGGTATGATGGAAAGAAAAATCAATTTTCGATTGATTTACTCAATGATGAGTTTTATTCAACATCCATTTTGATTCAACATGAGGATCATTCAGTGTAGTATTCAGTTTTGTTTCCCCGTATGATCTTTTTATTCTGTATAACAAACGATAATCTTGTATTCCATTGACATGAACTATGCTCAGTAAGTGATTTATTTTAACTGAGTATGTGATTTAATCCTAATTATTAATCAAAATGGGTGTAAAATCAATATGTAAACCAGTATATTTTAGACTATTTTGATCATCATCATCGTCGTCATTGTGTTTGGAGCTAATCAATAATCACTTAAACCAGTCTTTGTGTTCTTACTTTCGCACCGTCGGTATTGCAGAAGTACCTCGTTCCGAGTATAAGTGATCAGCGACTTTTTCCGGCACAACAATCGCGACGACCGAATATAACACAGTGGTAGATTGATATTTATCTGTCTGTAAACAAATCCAGTTTGAACTCTTATATTTGTTATTGCTTCAGTGAAACATTATGAAGCTAAATTGCTTTTAAAGACCGGTAAATGTCAGTAATCTGGCTGCTACCAATTAGATGCCCAATAGTTGTAGTCTCGCATTCTTTGAAACGTGTTAGAGAATATATATATATATATATATATATATATATACGCTTTTGGACGTAGATATAGATAGATAAATGTAGTTGGAGGTACTGAGAGAAGAGGACTTGTCGACTTCTTTTTTTTAAGGGAGCAGTTTACTTCATGTCAGTTGACTAACGTTGCTACTGAATGAGCGATCTTTATTTCGCCATTTATTTTGTCAATAATTGTTTCAGTAAATTCATCTTTATTAAAGCGAAGATGTACAAAGCAAGCTTTCTTCTATGTTGTATCATATTTAAAAAAATCCATATGTTTTGACACACTTCTTAATGAATTAATGTGACCGCGTATTTTCACGTACAGAATTTTTTAAATAACTGTAGACCATTTTTCTATTCCGTTGCCAATATCTATAATTTTGTATTGTTATTATTATATCTCAATGTTACACTTTGATACGAATACGATTGTAGGCAACTGAAGAGAAAGCATGAAATAACATTAACTCATATTATGTTGGTTCACTTATCATTTGGGCTTCATTGTATGGAGTTTTTCAAGAATCACTTTCCTGTTAAGTATAATATTACTGAACATAACTTAAAAGAATTTATAGGAGCTTGATGATCATGTAACCGAAAGAGTTGAGTGTTATGAGGAACAGAGATTATATAGTTTATTGGATGTTTTACCATTCGTATCAAACAACCTCATCACTATTGGTGCGTTTCTTCAATAGAACGATTTTGTGAGTGTAGTTTGTCAAGTTTAAGTTTAATGAAGAACGTTAAGGGTTTATATTTGTTAGCTGTTATTAACACAGTTGTATATTTCATCTTTTTATTTCACATATGAGCGTATGTGGAAGCGATTTCCAAGAGTTTCTTACCGAATTTTTGTTCGTCTGTCATATTACCTGATTCGGGAGAAAATGTACTACTCAATTCACGAAATGTCATAGCAATACGTCGGATAGGTATATCTGAACGCCTAATTTCATGTTGCCATATATATCGTGCAGGTCCACTAACAACCACAAGGGAACGTCTGTCCAGCAGCACACGTACGCAAAACTACAAAATAAAAAACGTATATCAGAAAGGAAAAAAGTTTCTGAATATTATAATAAAGCTCATAAATTGCTTATACAATCTTCATAACCATTTTAATGAGGATAGTGTTGATTACTTGACAATTATATTACAGCCGATGTTATTTGGATGAAGTAAACAACTTGGATCATGTTTGGTATAAGGCTTAAACAATCAGTTTATTTAATTAATCACTAACCTATACTAGGTTCGCTAAACCGGGGGAATTTCCGTAAGAGATGTTTTATCATGATAAAGACACTGATCATCAGTAGTTTCATCCGTTCCTCTTATCATCTACGCATTGTAGATCCGACCATTTACAGCCACACTAACATCACGAAGGCGCGAAAATGACCTAGACTGGAATAAGCCGCTCTGGCTTTCACTATACGTGAATTAACTTCATTACTCACGCCACCACCAGAAACAACTCAGATACGCGAACCTCTTGAATGGTTATATCTGCTCACTACCCAGGCTGAGTGCAGGTTCAGGGTTCTGTCAGTCTTGTAAAAGTACTTTGCACTTAGAAGGTGCAGAACACATACCATAACTACCTGGGTATCATCGCACAGTAAGACAGTGTCATCTGCATACTCAAGGTCGAGAAGTCTTTCTCTAGTAAAAGATCCACACCACCATTACCTACGCCCATCAGGGCTGTTTCCAGAACGTCATCGATGGCAAAGTTGAAGAGCAATGGTGAGTGTGGGCAACCTTGTCTAACCCCACTGCTTGAATGGAACAATGGAGAGAGGTGGGTGTATGCCCTCACTCTGCCTGAGGTGTCTGTATATAAGAATTTTAGGATGTTAATAAACTTCTCAGGCACACCCTTCTTCAATAGACAGTACCAGAGAATAACCTTGTCCAACGAACCGAAGGC